AAAAAAATATGCAAGTGGTGAATTGCAATAAAAATTTCCTTTCTAGTTTGTATTCTATTCATTTACACATTACTGCAATTCAAAGTTTCAGCACATAAGAGTTTAATACTTTTTCATTTTTTAAATATACGTTCATAATTAGCAGCAGAAAATGTTTGCCATTTATTGCATGGCACCATGCTCTAACCACATAGAAGTTGGTGCCAGATAGTCTGTTCCGGAGGGATAATGACCATGTAGCCTGCCAATGGGAGCCATCCAAGTCTAAATCTGTCCCAGCTTTGTGAATGCCAGCACATACAGAATACATACGAGAGCTCCAACAATAATTCATAAATGCAATTGAATGTAAATAGAGTTTTTTATTTTATGTTTTCTTCCTGGAAGCATAGTCAACGGAAGTTTGAGTTCAGAATAAAGTTTCATTTATTTAGTTAATACAATTTATGAATGCTTCTGAAATAAATCTTAGCTATCGTCTAACAAACATTATTTAAAACTCTGGAAAAGTATACGGCTTTAGGTCCGTATTTTTTATTTATTCATTTAGTTCTTAAGAGTTTGGGTTTTAAACCAATGTTTTATGTCTGTTTTACAACCCTTGTTAATACACTTTTAATACATGCCTCTCAGATCAGTATGGGGTATCTAGCACAGGGGTAGCCATCCTTGGCACTCCAGCTGTGCTGACGCTACATATGCCATCATGCCTGTGGCTATCTTGCAATGCCTCATGGGATTTGTAGTTACACCACAGCTGGAGTGTCAAGGTTGCCTACACCTCATCGAGAAAGACAGAGCAACAATAGCAGCCTAACCACATTACTTTCCTTGTCTGGCTAAAACTTCAGAATTAGACATCTGATAAGAGATGGGTCACTGGAATATGTGTGCAAATTGCAGCTTGAGCCTCAGGGCTCCGTAAACAACAGTTTTTTTTCTCTTTTTACAGACTAGTCTTTGGAAGACATGACATACGTATTTTTTTTTATTCTTAACCATAAAAAAATGAAGAAAATAACTCTATGTCTTCCTGTTAATAGTAAATATGTTGTTTTTTTCTTGTGTGAGCTTGCATGCAAAATATGATAAAGTAGAATGAAAAGAGATTGGAGCATAGATGCATATGCATTTAGCAATGTTTGCGATTTGCACATTTCATTTTTGGGTGCATGTGTTTAAATTCAGTGAATATAATACAAGTTTTAAAGGGGAACTATAAGGTGAGTGATTTCCATTCATCCTCATAGTTAGAGCCGGCCTGTGACAAAGAAGCTGTCACATGTCGACTCTATAGATCGGGCAGTGAGCAGAAACATGCACTGATACGTTCACTTCCCAATCTTCTCCCTTTAGTGAGCAGTGACTGTCACGGCTCCCCACAGAGATTCCTCCCTCACCTCTCCGATCCTCCAGCGCTGACTGGAGGAATGAACGGGGCAGGGGGCGGGCACAGGTGGCTCTGCCTCTGGATGGACAGAGCCAGCTGTCACTCACGCAGCTGGGCAGATCACGACAGTATTGTCGGTATCCGTCCTAGCTACGGCACTCTCAGTATATCGCAGGCAATAGCTCGCTATATACTGAGCTTTGGGTCAGAGGAGGAGGTTAGTATATGTTCTCCTGTGACCCTAAAGAGAACTATGGGGGAAAGACACTTACCCCATAGTTCTCTTTTTAAATATTTCTAGTCAAAGAACTGTAATGTAATTGTTTACCATGTGCATTCTTTACACATGATTTTAATTTTTTAATTTTATTTATTTTTGTATTTAGATGGGACTTGGAATGCGGATTCTTCAAAGCTGATAAAATTAGGAGTTCTACCTGTTCGAAGTCTATTGGTAATGGAAGGATGTGTTTGGGCTGCTTCTGGAGGACAAATATTCATTATTGACAGGGAAACATATAACACTGAGGTAGGTATAGATATGGATGCAGGATGTAAAAGAATGAAAAAAACATAGTTATAAAATGTAGAGCAGAGGTAGTTAAACTTTGTCCCTCCAGCTATGGTGAAACTACAAATCTCTGTGTGAGTAGATCTATGTAGAGAAAAGACAACGGATGCACTACACATTTAAACAAACCACAAATGTACAGGTTAAAAAAAAGTAAACAGATATTTGATTGGCTAAAACTAAGTAAATTCCTTACAACCTCTGAGAGTTTTTATACCTGCGATGGGCTAAATGTCAGTTATTCATTCCCATAACTATCTGTAGAAATCTAGAATGTAACATTTCATTAATTTTGAAGCCCTTAAAGTGGATATGTATCCTGCACGTTTCTGAGATATTCATTTTTTGGGCAAAACCTATAATCCCTTAAATGTGTTAAGAAAAAGAGACATCACTGAGGCATTGCGACATCATACTAAGGTACTGCATCCCAGGGCAAAGTTAGTTAAAATGCACCCCCTTCCATATTATTTTTATTACTATCCTCATTTTTACAGGGTTATTCACAAAAGGGTGAAGAGTTTGGAGAAGGCAGGAGAAGTGAACAATCTGGGGCAAAATTGCTGATTTGGAAAAATTCTCCAATTCAGCTCACTTTCCAGTTCAGCTATGTTGTCCTAGATTGGTCACTTCTCCAAACTCTTCATCCTTTTGTGAATGACCCCCTTAGTGATGAAAGGGTCTTTCATGTGCTGTCCAAGAATCTGTCCCATGTGACTACAACACTTTCATCTCCTGGGTCCCATCTCATTATGTTCCTTTGCAATTGGCCCTGCCGGAACTGCATGGGTCGGGAGGGGTGTGTTTCAGTTCCAGTTTGCGTGGACTTGGGCAAACTCAAGTGAATTGATTTTAGTTCAAGCCCCCCCACATCGCTAGTTGTTCATGCAGAAAAGTAAGTTATTTCTAATGTGGACTTCATTCATTGTTAGTCATGGGTCAGTCTCTTTTCTAATTTATACCCCTTCCACAGGTTAAACACATCTGTTTCTTTCTGACCAAGATACAATATCCTTTTACAAAATCCTGCCTTCAATTATCAGTATATATGTTTAGCTTTTATGCATTGGTTGTTGGTTTTCCTTTGACATGTCTGTCTTTCATTAAATTAGATGACATGTGAGGCTGTTAATTTTTTAACTTCTTACTTCAGTAGGGACATTTCTCAAGACTATCCATCACTGGCATCCAATATTTACAGTGCTAGTAGAAATATTACTACAGTAACATTTACTTGTCTGCATCAAAGATAATATAGTATAATTTTTTTCACATGTAATAAGATGTGGTCTGCAAATAGTGGAGAATTTTGCCATTTTGTCCGTGACATTTCACTTCAGCTACTGCAGTTCATATAGAAAGTTAGAGTGGCTGGAATGTTTCTTCAGGCAAAAATGTAATTGGGTTTATAGATCTTTTTGTTATATGGTACATAACATGGATTATCTCTAGAGCAAAGATTACAACCAGGCATAGAATGGAAGTGTTTAGATTTCATCTAAGCAATAGAAATAAATTCAATACATTCCCCTAGATTTCTTAAATGAATGAAATGTGTTTCTGTTAGTATTATCAAGGGAGTTGTCCACCCAAAGGTAAGAGGAATTTCATTCTTATGTAGGAAGGTGCTGTGAGCTTATGTGATAATATCACTAACTGCTGTTTCCATGTTCTGGAGTTATAAATTGGGGATTAGTCAAACAGGGAACTGAGGTGACTGGTATTAACACATCTGTCCTGCTTTACCTTAAATCCAAAACCATTGTAATTCTCATTTATTTTTCCCATTTTATATTTTTTTTAAAGTACTCAATCACTTGCGTATAATAGACTGTTAACTGCCCATTCTCTGCACTATAAATCTGTCCATACACAATTTTAGCAGGTAGGATTTAGTCTTGTAGCTGTTACCACCATTACAATCTTTTTTTTTTTTTGCTGGCGGAACAAAAATATGGGAGGTGCAATTGCTGACTTATTGTTAAAGGTATAGGCTTTGAAACTCTCAATGCTATCCTTGCTTTCACTACTTAGTAAATCAATGACCTGCAACAAGTTAAGGTCATGTGTTTTGATTCATCAGGCTGCATACTAGTTTTGGGTCAGTGACCTACTCTGTAGTCGGGCAGCAATAAGGATGACAACCCTGGAGCCTCCACCTTCAAAGCAAATCGGTTACAGTGGCTCCAATATTTTGGGCTTAAAAATGTGGCACTTATCGACCAGATATAACAAAAAAACTTCAATGGAATATTTAGCAGGCCAAAAGGGAGCAAATAATAGAAGTTCATTGTTGGGGCTTACAAACACTTTAAGTTTTTGCTCTTATAAAATATTTTTACTTGGGAAATGATTAGTTTGGTAGAGTTTATTTTACCATTCTGTTGTGAAATAAAATTTTGTTTTGCCTTTGTTAGCACCAGCTTGAAGCTCACCAAGAGGAAGGCATGGTGATTTCCCACATGGCAGTGGCGGGAGTAGGCATCTGGATTGCCTTTACATCCGGCTCCACATTACGTCTCTTCCACACGGAGACATTTGAACATCTGCAAGATATTAACATAGCAACTCCAGTTCATAACATGTTGTCAGGTAGCTTTTACGTGTATTTAATGGGGTTTTTAATGTGCTTATATAATGAAATGACATAATACTTCCATATATGTTCCCCATCATTTATTAGATAAGAGTAATATCCATACTATTTAATCACCACAACAGTTTGTGCACACAAGTTCCTCTGCCTGGCGCATATGTTTCATCCAATATTTACTCTTCTCCCCATTGTTGGCATTTTCTAAAGAGTCAATTGCCCCATGTGCATCTTCATAAAGGTTCTGGTAAACAAGTTATAAACAGGTCTCAAAACAAACACATCGCTATTGTTGGCAGTTTACATTACCTGTGGCAAAAAATTAAGTAACGGAATAGGATATAAAATGTATATACAAAACAGGTTATTATTATTATACAGGATTTATATAGCGCCAACAGTTGTTGCAGTGCTTTACAATATAAGGAAGACAATACAATTCAAGATAAGATAGTAAGCAGGGCCCACAATTCATTGTAAAATGAAATCGGGAACAAAAATTGTATTACAAATGGCCCTACTGAGCTAGACTGTTAAGACAAAGGTGAAATTACTGAAAGTGCAGCTGTTTTTAGGGTCTGACAACCTATAAAACCTCCCATATTAACGGTAAGAGTGTTTTATGCCTGTACATGGGAGTTCAGCCTTGTAGAAAGTTCCAACTGTATCCTACTAGGTCACTGTGAGAAGGTAATGATAGGTACCGTATATACTCGAGTATAAGCCGAGTTTTTCAGCCCATTTTTTTTGCTGAAAAGTGCCCCCCTCGGCTTATACTCGAGTCAGCGTCTCGAGCTGTTCAGGTTTCTTCTTACTTGCCCCTGTACAACAACCAGATATTGCCGTTCCCTGGGTGATATGTGTGTGGGTGGGGGGTACAGTTCTAGTGGATGTTTATATAATATGGGGGGGGCGAAAAAAATGTTCTGCCCCGGGCACCCATAACTCTGGTTACGCCACTGTACGGTATCTAGGTTTTCTGTTCAACACTACCTTCATTCCGCAAGTGATGCATGGCATAAAAAAATATGTTGTAGTTTATATGATCCTGCAAGGTTTTGTTTAGCTGTATTGGTTATTTAGTTATTTAATACATGTAGTAATTGTACGCATAGCTTTTTTTGACAGTTTAGGGAAAGACACCATTACTAGCTGCTCTCTGGAAAAAGAAATACCAAGTCCCTTTCTCTTGCAACCTGCAATCTGTATACCACAAATATACAGCCAGAAAATTTTGCAACAGTACCCTAATATGTGATTGCCTCCAATCTGTGACCCTTGTTACTTCTAGTAACGTGACCTGTGTCTGGAAGAGAGAAATAATTTGTAAAAGTCAAAACTTGCACTCCTAGGTTTGCAGGATAATAGTTATTCACATACAGCCAATATCTAATACAAAGGTCCTGCAGCGCCATGCACCATTGGATAGGGAAGATCGATAATCTGAATTGAAAAACAAAGTAGCGAAACAAGGCGCATCAACCTAAGTGCAGTAATAGATAAAAATCTTTAAAAAAAAACAACTGCACACAACATGGCATTGAAACAAAATGAGCTTGTCATGAGCCTGAATGGAAAACAGCATCAGACAGCTCCCCTTGGCCATTTCAAGGCTCAAGCTCATGACAACCTGATTTTGCTACACTGCCCTTGTAAGTGCATTTAAAAAAAAAATAATTATTTAGGATTTTTATTTATTAGTTCACTTAGGCACATTGTTCCTCTACTTTGTTGACCAGTGTCTTTATTACACCTTTAACACTATATTAATGTACCCATTGCTATAGAAATTGTATGTGCATAAGTTATATAAACCATCACTGGCACATCTTTCTGTTTTGTCTTCTTACTCGGATTTAGGTGTTATGACCTTTACCCTGATTTGAATCTCTCTGTGGTTACATTCTGTAGTTATTACAAACAGCTGGTGACAAAGTAGTTGTTAGTATGTCTCCTCATCCTGGGGCCAGGGGTGCTTTTTTTTTCCATTTTCAATTTGGAGCTCTAATTCCTAGGAAAGGAGCACTGTGCTTTATCACGTTTCCTTTCATTGCATGTACATAGCAAACTTTCCAGTCAATGAGTACATGCTTGTGATAAAGCATAAATGTGGATGTCAGCTTGAATAGAAAAGCCTATTGCCTAATGAAATAGTGTTCAGGAAACTATGGCACCATTAGATTGTGTAAAATGTAGATAGCACACAATGTTAGCATGGAGAATTTCATCTTCCCAGGCTGTGAAAATGGGTATCCGTTTAGTATTGGCGGCATACTGACGTTGGCAGACACTGGTGACAAGTACAGTAAAGTAATAGAGAAAAATAATGTAGTGATGGGAAGCAGCTTGGACTATGACATGACTGTTATATGCATCACATACTAGTTATACCTGTTGCATAACTAAATGATGATCCTATCATTATTAAAGGAGCTATGTTGTCCCATGTTAGTCAGTCTCTGAACCCTGGTCCACATATTTGCTTCAAGGCAGGCAGTCATTCAGAACAGGTCAGTCATTTTTAACTGTTAAATGTAAAAGTCTAGTTTATTGCAGGCACCATAGGGTGTCTATAAAAAACAGAAAACTTGCTATTGTGCGCCTCTCTAAAACGAGTTTTACTTTGTTACCATCAGTCCTGACTTCCAGGACTTCAGGTCTAATTCCTGCCAACTGCCATCCTGATTTACAGTACCTCAATATCCAATAAATGTACAATTTATAAACAAACACAAGGTATTGTCAGCTTTTAGGAAGGACTTGTAGGTTTATAATGTCTGACAGGTTCACTTTAACTCAGATTAGCATATAACCTTGATGTCAGCAAATGGTAAATCTAATGCTGGTAGAAAGACCCTGACAGTTTTCTTATAAAAGTTGTTTTCCAGGATTTAGGTGGAATCGACAATTCATAAAAACTAGAGTATTATTAAAAAAGCTGTGCTATGTCATGTATAGCTCAATACAGCAGAACATGCCCTTCGGCATAGGTGGAGTGATTGGGCAAAAATGAATTTCACCCAAAAATTATTCATTTTTTAGCAATTGTTTGCCATGAAACACCGCTAAGGTGAAATCTGCTTGAAGAAGCATCTTAATATAAGAAAATTATCCCATGTAGCTTTTGTATTCCTCCTTGTTGCTCTCACAAGGCACCCATAGCAATCAGCCTATAAATATCCACCCCCTTCCTTGATAAGACGGGCTGCCTGTGTTTACTTCCTTTGCAGGTTATAGTTAATGTAGGCATGTCTAGCATGCTATGGTATAATCATAGATATGGTGGATCTAGTACATAGTGCACCACAGTGAAACATGTGGATGGTAGCACTGTGGTTTGATGCCTTCAAGTGATTACATTTAAGTAAAATGGCCCTCTAAAGGAACCACGCTGAAAATACAGTATTGGGAAATAAATGGGCAATGCTTTCAATACATGTGCAACCAATGGGCAATTGTGACAATACGCGAGCAAGATAAAGGCTAGAAATAGGTGATTGTGACAATATGTGGGTAACAAACAGAAGATTGTTACAATATGCCATGTTTATTATAACATCTATTGTCATTTTATGTGAGGACATGAGAGGCCACACAAAAACAGCTTCAGTATTTCGCCTTGCCCATTGACTCCAATTAATTTTATCATGATGGTTAAATTTTTCCAAAATGTCCAGATTTTAACCATTATTTTGGTGAGGTGGAAACTCTCAGTTTTGCTTTCCCTAATATTTACCTTTGTCGTAAGAGAAAACCTGTACAAAAAATATTTTACATGAAGATCAGTGATATAACCAGATGGAAATTTAGGAGGAAACTGGAAACATATTTCTGATATGTTTTCCACGTGTGTATTTTGCTTATCCTGCCTTTCTGTTTGTGAACAGGTGACAAGGTTATCACAGTATACCACATGCATGGTTTCTTTTGTTTCCCCTAATTATTTATCTTTGAAGATGGGAAATATTTGGTCGTTAGGTCCATGACTAAGGCAAGAGGATAGCTATCACATCTAACACATGTTATTGATGTGTGGAAAATTGCAGGGATGCACGGACTGTAACATGAGGCAGACTAACTGTTGTGATGTAAAATAAGTAACATTCAAGTAAAGGAAACAGCATGTGGACTTTTACATAGAATATTTTTTTTACTTAACATTATTGCTATCGCATGGGGACTGCTACCTTGTTATAGAAATACTACCCATAATGTCTTATGTGGACTTTTACATAGAATATTTTTTTTACTTAACATTATTGCTATCGCAAGGGGACTGATAAGCTACCTTGTTATAGAAATACTACCCATAATGTCCATGTGTCGGTAATCCCTCCACTCTCCATCCTGACACCCCACTGCTTGCTGTGCCCTCCTCCTAGCATGGAGGAGAGAGCTAGGGGGTCCAACCAACTAATCGATGAGAATAATTGACAACTATTCTCATAATCGACTAATCGATTAGTTAGTTGCAGCCCTACTCTTCAGCAGTATGAAGGTCACTTCCACTAGCAGATAGTTGGCTGTAAAAGTGTAATGTCATGCCAATGCTGCCACAGAGAAAGAGTTAAAGGACAACTGTACAGTTGTCCATTAGGTAACCCCCCATGCAGCCTACCTGTAAAATACTTACCTTCCTCCATACTTCAGCAATTTTCTCTGTGCAGCCCTGCCCTCTGTAGTGTGAAAGCCTATCTATATAATCATTTTAATTTATATTTAATCATTAGCACTACATATTTGTTATTAAATATAAGTACAATCAGGTTGTAATGTGTGTGTGTGTGGCCAACCTAAATGGTCACTCCAACAAAAGAGTTTATTTTAGTTATAAGCGGAGCGGAATCAGTCCAAGGCATGTTAAAAATCTTGAGAGCTCCCTGCCATAATTGTTGACTCTTTTTTTTGTTTTTGCCTGCCTAGAGTTTTGAATGTTCCTGCCCACCTTTGCTTTTTCCAGCGTCTCCTGTTTCATTCTCCATAATCTAAAATAAATATG